TGTATGTTAATCCCTGATTCGTTCATGAATGAAGAGTTTAGTGTGATTTGGAATAGAAGCAATAATCTACGTGATTTATATTGCCGTGGTTCGTAAAATGACCGAATAAGTTGCACTTGAACTCAATTGACGAAGGATTTTGTTGTTGTCATCTTGTGCGACCTCTGCGGATAGTGAGATTCACTACCAGTTCTTTTCTTTCAGCTCTTCATCAAGAGTATTACTATAGTGACCGTTAATGTGATCAGCATGCCGTGGATTTTGATTGGTCTTGCACCGTTAACCATTGTCTTTTGGTATACACGCAACTWTTATCTAAAAACTTCACGAGAGCTTAAACGTCTCGAGGCCATTGGTAAGTGTGGGTCAACTTTTTCTCTTTGCAATTAAGTAAAAAGAAAATAACCCGAATTCCTGCAACATTCCTTCTCGAGAGTGTTTTCAAATGGTTCTTTGAGAAACGAACATTTTGCTCTATGTTAACCCATCCCAGTGACACTGAAGTATTTTCTAACGTTTCTCGCATTAGTCGACTTTTGTGACGATGTGAACTAACGGAATAAACTGATGAACAACGACTWCTCTGGACTACTCTATATCTTTCTCTTTGTTGAAGAAGGGCCATGATCGAAATGTTCTGAATTGGTTTTGACACTCGTTTTTTTTCGAACCTGCTTTCCTTAGGTCGTAGTCCAGTCTTCATCCACTTCTCATCAACTCTAGAGGGTATATCGACTATTCGGTCACTATCACTTCAAAATATTGTTACCAAGGAGCTGAGCACGTGTCAAGATCATCACACTGAGGCTTGGTTCCTGTTCCTCGTTGCTTCAAGATGGCTGGCCTATCGCTTGCAGTTTTTATGCTTTTTMTTTGTCTCGATGGCAGCGTTTATTCCACTGTTCATAGCAGAGAAACAAAGTAAGATGGCGAAGGGATATTTTGGTGATGAGCGATGATCATAAACTTAGCGCTTGTTTGTAGGTTCGTGCAGGTTCTTATTTAGGCTCCTTGAAAGTGAATTTCATTTGCTTTTACAGGGGCACTTGAAACTCCTTGGAAAATGAACAGACTGGATTGATGTCCTTGAATAGCATAATAAAACCTTCAACACAAATAAGAATGATTGATTCTTCAAGACGATATAGCCTCCTTTGAAAAATATCATTTTGCTCCTGTAATTGTCCTTTAAAACTCCTTGAATTTGTTCACAGAGATCCTGCACGAATCCTATTATAGACGCCAACATGTTAAACAGTATAAATGATCTGCATTGTACATGTGACTAAGAATTTGGTTTGTAAGGGCAGGAAAAGTATTTCCCCACAAGTTAACATGATTTCAAATATGTGTTCACCAGGAGTGGACGGAGGGATCGTTGGTCTTGCCTTGACATATGCCCTTGTCTTGACTGGAATGTTTCAGTGGTGCATTTAYGTCAGTGCAGAGGTTGAAAACCAGGTATGTACTACTGCTGTAACTACAATGGTTATAGTAGAAGTTCCAGAAACAAATAAATAAAACCATTTGTTTTCTATGATTAGAATTAAAACGTTTATATTAGTTCGAAAAGTTGCAGAAGGCCTCAACAACTCAGTCGAGTTGTGAGTTGATGTGATTCACAATGCAACTTTTATCCTGTAGATGACATCTGTTGAACGAATATTTGAGTATTGTGAGTTGGAGCCAGAAGGAAAATGGAAAGAATCTAACGAAGAGCTTCCACCATCTTGGCCAGAACACGGCATTATAACAGCAGAACAGTTATCACTACAATATCACTCTACCCTCCCACGGGCGCTCAAAAACGTCTATTTTTGTATTAGAGCCAAGGAAAAGGTGAGGTGTCCTATTYATAGATCTGACTCTTCATGAAYCAGTAGCGATAGCGTTTTATTCGATTGTTTTGCTGTTATCATACTAACGAGTTAGGCGCACATGCAGTACTTTTCACAACTAGGGAACCCCGTAAAAACTGTCGTTAGGAAAAGAAAGAAGAAAGTTACAATMAAATCTGAATGAGAAAATTAAATAGGGAACGCAGAAAGCACCACTCAAGAACATGATTTCTAAGTAGGATTGTCATCAGTCTTTTCGCAAAATTTCTTCCCTCGCTAAGGGCAGTCGTAAAAAAGGAGTTAATAGCTTCCATAATTAGATCCATCTTCCAAAGAAAATGAATGATTTTATGGACATCGCCCTATATTAACAAGATATTGAATAAGGTCGCTTTACTGTAGACACAACCGGTTTGATGTAGACAGATTTGTGATTTTTRCATTTCCTGGCCTATTATATACAATCTGTATTAATCAGGTTGGAATCGTTGGACGCACTGGTGCTGGCAAGTCCTCACTAATGGCAGCAATATTACGAATTGCTGAACCTAAAGGTCGTCTTCTTATAGATGGGATAGACGTCACTGATATTGGTCTCCATGACTTGCGCAGTAGGATATCGGTCATACCCCAGGTATCACGCTGATAGCATTTTTCTTTGATGTTGTTGCTGTTCATGTTGTCTTTTTCTTTTATTAGTTTATTTGTTTGGTTGCTTTTGATGTCTTTCCATTGTACCTGTTTTGACTAGGATCCAGTATTATTTGGTGGAACTCTACGATACAATCTTGATCCATTTAATGAGTATTCTGACAAGGACCTGTGGAATGCTTTAGACGAGGTATGCAGTTTTTATCAAGTAGATTTGCTATTTGTCAGTGCAGAAGTCATTGCAATTGTTTTGTTTCAGGTCCAGCTTAGAAATGATATCGGTGAACTTTCTGGAGGACTTGACACTGACGTCACTGAATCCGGTTCTAATTTTAGCGTTGGCCAGCGGCAACTAATTTGTTTAGCACGTGCATTGCTAAGACATAATGGAATTCTAATAGTAGATGAAGCAACAGCTCACGTGGATAATAAGTAAGCCATAGATTATAATTTCAGTAGGTAATCAAAAGATACAAATTCCAGTTTCGAAAATACAACCTTTTTTACAGTTGCCCTCTATTATTAGGTAAATTATTGTTCTTTTGAAAAAACATCCGACAAGGGATCATTGAKGGGGACATTTCCCCTTCAGATTCTCTAGCTTCTGTTCCTGTTTTCTTGTTTATGCTGTTTACTTCGCGAGCTTCACTTTTACGGCTTCGGTGGTAATGTAAGGTCAAGTAAAAATCWTATTGATTATGGTTTCTTTTTTCTAGAACTGATGTATTAATTCAAGAAACCATACGTAAGAAATTTTCCAATTGTACCGTATTAACGATAGCCCATAGATTGAACACCATTATGGACTCAGACAGGGTGATGGTGAGTACCAGTTTACTCGAATTACATGCGGTCTTCTAACACATTAACTGAGTGGCTTTGATAATCTATGATTATTGTCACAATATGATGAAGAAAGTTGGAATAAGGTCTTTGTAATAATTTGCCATTCAGTTTCAGAGAGTCCGTGATAGTGTTTTTGAAGACTGTAAACTTATCTTAAATGACAAAATGAAGAATATTTTTGTTAACCAGTGTTGTACACTTTCTGGCACCTTGTGATTTGCAGTCGTTGTCATTTAGTTTATTTGTTCATATCATTCTAGGTTCTTGACAGTGGGAAACTAGTGGAATTTGACGAGCCATACATCTTACTGCTTGATAAAGAAACATTGTTCTCGAAGCTTGTAGGYCAAACAGGCAAAACTAATTCAGTTAGGCTGCTAGACATGGCCAAAGCATCATTTGAGAAACAGCATCAGCCAGAACCAATGGACCATGTGCCTGAGCATCTCAGGGACATCTCAGGTCGAACTTAGACGCATTTTTGCATTTAACTAGATTTTCAGATATTGAAATTGAGTCTACTTAAACAATATTTCGAGGGCGTTAGGCTGTGATAGTTGCCCACGGACTGGATGTTTCGATAAAGAAATAGTCAACCGAGAACGCCGTTTTGAGGAAMATCCAGTTTCGAAGACTAACTATCACAGCAAAATACCCGAGAATTCAACTGCTCTATTTTGTTATTTAACAACAAAATTTTCTGGAGCAGCGGTCTCCATAATCTGATAGTAGCACTTCGCGATGGGCGGCAATATCGCGTCACGTGGTCCATTCTTCACCAATGAGAGCGGAGGAAAATTTGTTCAATAATAATTCATAATAGTGAGTTAAGGTGAAAAACACTTCCCTGGACAGTAATTTACCGTGACGAACATCTACGTTCTAATTCAGTAAAGATTATCTAAAATTCATGAGGTCCATAACCTTCAAATTCAATTTCATTTTATACAGTATACAAATAAATACATAACACAACATAAATGCAAAATATTACTACAAACTCTCAAGTAGCATAGCTAATCTAGGTGGGTTTATGTAAAGTATTGTCTAAACTGTTCCGTTGAGTCAGTTAAACTGCTGAGCAAACGAGAACTGAGCACCAGTCCTGTAGCGACCTTTTTCATAAAAGAATAAAAAAATAACTGCTCTTCAGGTCTTATTTCAAGTAACGTTCAGGCTCTGRACTGCCTTTAAAAACGTTCGTCCGCCATTGCCTTTTTAACATGATCATACGCGCATTTTTTGTGCAACTATTTGTAGTCTGCCACTCTCAATTCAGTATAATTTTCAAGAAATTATTGACAATGAAGTTAGAAGAAGATTTTTATACAAACTGAACTGATTAAAGKGCATGTTTTCATGAAAAAAGGAGCTAAAGTATAATAGTGTGAAACACGCTAAAAGTTTATTTGAAATAACTTATTCAACACAACAAGCACAGCATAGATATACCAGATAGCGAAATTTGATGAGGTCTTTATAAAATTCGTTGAATCTAATATTAAAAAAAGTTATTTTTTTATTTACATACGCGTTCTCTTGGAGTCATTTGTTATAAAAATCCCTGTGGTGTTAGTAAAGCTTGAGATCAAGATCCCCCGGAACTCAACTCTCTTCCCATTCCTCTGCGCCGTCCCTGGCATGAAYTTTTAATGTTGGCTGCGTTGTATAGATCAATGAAACTCCCTAGTGATCAAGGAACCAGAACTAAACAGAGAGATGCTAAAATTTGCAGCATTATAGAGCACGTACCGATGATTTATGTAGGAACTATTGCTATTCCCACCGCAGGGAACCCGGTAACGGTAAATTAAAAATTAAATTAGAAAACTATGAGAATAAATTAATAGTTCTGAAAGCAAGTAACACAGGCTCAAGTTTACAGGAAAGTGAGTGATTGAGTGAGTGACAGATTCTTCCCCCTCCAATAACTCTTCGATTGCTTCTCAATCTTCGAGTTAAAAAATGACCCTAGTACTAAATTCAGCCAACATCGACCTAATACAATTATCTTGATCCACTCCCCTTGACATATATAAGTTCAAAGTTGTTCTTCAAGATTTCTTGGCAAGTTAMACGCAACTAATCATTGAGGTCGTTGTATACTCATGATCCATATTTTAAGCATGCCATGATCTTCTTGTTGCTTTATTGCAATAGGTTGTTGCCACAAAGAGTATAGCTACTAGTCGCGGTGCCTGTCAGAAAGCATTGTTCCAGCAGAACTGGAACATCTTTAGGCTCGAGATTCCTGTTCTTGCAACAAACACTGAAGGATGCTCTTCGGAGTCTTATCATTAGCTTAGCCTAAGTTAGCTATGACCATTTAAAAAAAWTTCGACGAAATCGATTCTTACATGAGCTGATAGCCAATAAAGCTCCGGCCGAACTCTAAAGAGCTGAATAATTAGTATGTACGACAAAACAGCGTCCGTCATTTGCACGCCGACCACGAGTCACGTAAAATATCACTTCAAAAACAAATCGTCAAACTAACCATGGTAAAGAACATGGTGTCAAAATGAGCAAAGTTTGGTGTCTTATTTGGTTTGTTTTCATTGATTGTTTTGAACTAGGAAATTGTCTTCAGGATTTTGTCTCCTTCGTGAGAAGAGCGAACCCGGCCGGGAGCGACAAAAACGGTTTTCAGCCACGCCAAAAACGTGGAGTTGTCGATTTAAAATATGCCCCAAAATAAATTGTCATCAAAAGAATTTGTGCTCAATTACTCTTGATTTTTTTCTCCTTTGTAAAGGAGATAAGTCAAAAGCTCGTATTTTCGTCACCCAAACTACACAAAAATGAGTTGCTTTTAAGAGATTCATTCATGTGTCTGTCCCGAGATAGATCTATACCTAATCTTGTGGCTTTCTTGGTATCCGAAGGAACTTCATTTTCGTTAAATTGAATATTGAATTTACGGAAAGAATGTGAAATGTTCAAATATCATTATTATTGTATTTTTATAAGTAATTACTTTAGTTTAAGTTTATGACGCAGTTTAAATAATGTTCACGTGATCGATATTTGTAGCATAAGCCAAGGTCTTCCTAAATGGGGAATTCCCCTCAGTATGGAGTTATGCCATAATTGGTTATTGTTTTAGTTAGTATCAAATTATTATTTGGGTTTCGTCTAATTCTGTAAAACATATATCAAGCAATGTAACGAGTAGTAGTTAGTCAGTCCAGTAAGTCCGTCCAGAGCGTCAAACAAGCATGTAGTAATAAAGCAGAACACAACAGAATCTAAGAGGAACGTTTTCACTGCCGCGACGGTCCCTTGTGGTCCAACACAAGTTATGACAACAAGATATTTCGACGTTTCGACGCCATCGCGCGTCATTTTCAAGAAATATCTTGTTGTCATAACTTGTTTAACAAAACTTATCAAGCACAAACAACTAACTTCATTTTCGAGTAAGAATTGATTTTGTTTTAACTAACAAACACGCTAAAATTTTCATATCTCGCTATTTTGTTTTTCTTTACTTTTCTTTACTCATGAGCTAATAGCTGTAGCCTAGTAATAGAGAAACCAATCAGTGCTTGCGCTTGATCATATCCAATGATTGTGTATGTATATAGTAAGTTATACTTATGCTTTCGTCTCACTGATTGAGGAATAGCATGCATCGAACATCGAATGAAGGGAAACGTTCTTGAGGAAGGGCAAATTACGAGGGGAGTGGGGGGAGGGGTACTCGACCCCGCTTTGGATAGGTATATGTACCGACAGCTGTCTAAAACCCTGACCCTGTTTAAGACACTAGAACGTGAAAATCCATACTCTGCTCAAGACAAATCGTACAAAATAAGGAATCGCTATCTAAGACTCGAGGGAAATTGTATATACTATCTGCTTATCTAAATAAAAGCATCTTACCCATAACATAAGGTCGGGAAACACTATAAATTCTGTTAAATGCAGTTAGTTATATCWTAATTTTTAATATAATCAGTTTTATCAAACTTAGTTAGCCAAACATCATCTTCAAACATCAAGCATAAAATATTCCACTTGTGACTTTGTGCCATCATAAAACCTAAATTAAAAATGTTATCAATACACTTTGAATTAACTAAAAGAACTGTAACGATAGAGTATATATCTCTAGTGTTGAAAGCATTATAAAATTTTGAAAGAAGGTACCAATGTCTTAAAAGGTTGTTACTGCGTTCGATTGCGCGCGCGCTCGGAGCCAACGCCACATACTGCTGAATTCTCATAGCACCTATGCATGCGCATCATACCAAATAAATACGCCGCAACCATCAAAACTGCAATTATACTGACATCCATCAAAGACAATAACGTTTTTGATAACACGTTAATCCTGGTACAGTGAAACGGTATTTCTACTATTTCTACGGTATTTCTTATGAAAATACTCACCCTGTCCAAGACACACACAAAATTTATCTCGGTCTTTTATCTAAATTGTAGAGCCTGTTTAAGACAATTTCCGGTGAAAAGTATACCCTGTTTAAGACAGCAAGGCCACAAAAACCATACCCTGGCCAGCGGCACGCACCCGTATAGCAAATATATGGGAGTATCCCCTCCGGGATCTATACATATAATGACAGTTGGTTAAAAGAATTGGTTCAACATTCTGATATAACGTATTTATTCTTACTTTATATATACAATGTTGGTCTTATATTTTATAATATACATTTGTACACTGTCTGATGCTATTGATCTCAGTTTATTGTTACTAAGTAACCACTGTTTACTTGAGTCGAGGGAATTAGTTGCTCTGTGTGGGCAACTCGACTAAACAACATAATGCCCWAGATTCGCACTCAACTATAGACCACTTTCATAAGTGCCTACCATCGATTTTATACAATTTATAATATTATGGAGACATTCAACACTGTCATATGGAAGACCTATTAGAAATAGGTATTCATTGAAAGTTTTGAAGCCATGKAYTAAATACTRACAAAGTTATGGAGGAATAAAAATACATGGATTTGCATGGAATTCTTTGCTAGTGACTGGGTGGCCTCGTTTCAGTTGGTGTTTTCGTGTCTCTTCTAACCCTTATAACTTCAAGATGATTTAATATTTTTCTGTGAAACTTTCAGAGTTTATATTTGGCTTTGAAATCTTCCATTTGAGTTTTTTCATTTGTCAACATCATTAATAKAGCRATAATATGCTAATTAGTGTCGGCCATTATGAAAGTCGTGAATATTATTTAAATACTCTAATTCTCTATACGTGCCTACACGAGCCTATTGTTTAGCTTTGTGCTCTTATCAGGAAAATATATTATCAATTTAATATCTGTAGATAAACTATGAATTAGTGTTATTAGTTAAGTTACGGTGGTAGTTCAAGTTGTTTAAAAATCCCTTGAAAAGTCTGCCGTCCTCTAACAACACCTCAYTTTGCCCTTTATAATGTTAGCCAATTGTTGCTGAACTCAACATATACAAAACCAATTATTAAAGCGCCCATAGAATGAATCGAAACAAAACTTTGGCCCTGAGCCTCTTCCTTAGTATTTTTGCATYGTAACTGATATCTACTGGACAGTGGATATCTTCTTCAATATGACTAATCAATGGGGTAAGGAAATTATTGCGATAGGKCAGTATAGTATTGGTGGTTTTGATATCATTCTAGGCAATGATGTTGTTTATTGGATATACTTGATCTCGTGAACATGGGCACAGTAAGCGAACCAGAGCCTTACGGAAGTCTCTCATTCTTAATGCATAAACCAATGAATTCACAAAAAAGTTACAGCCATTCACAAAGSCTGAAACATAAAGTACATCTTTAGACATGTGTACATATGTTAGCTTAAGTATTGAAACTATCACTATTGGCAACCACGTAAGCAATGACACAAATGTAACTAACATAGCAGTGTAGGCCATGTTTCTTTCTCTCATCTGAGCAGTTTGTGTCTGTCCTTGATGKTGACTGTGCAGCTTATTTTGGTACCTAACTTTGATAAAGATGSCAGAGTATGAAATGGCAATGATTAMCAATATCAACATTTCAAGGGCCTTTTGTATGTATACCATTATGTAGTGATATTTGGCTGGGGTAAGAAAATGTGCCGTTGCAAAGGATATTGCATTTAGCCAGGTACACGCAAATGCAATGCCGTATATTCTAGGACTGGCGACACGGTGTTGAAATGGCATGAACGTTGCAAAGGCTCTCTCTAGAGCAACGACGGCTAATGATGTAACAGAAGCAGTGATGGAAAGCATCATCAATGCTCCAAACAATGTTTCCAACGTTTTATCGCCAGTRATAATGACTCTTTCTAGGAATATTACTGGATTTAACGAAAAAGGAAGAACAAATATTCCGTGAAACAGATCTGCAACGGCAAGGTTGATAAGGCTGTACACACCACGGCGAAAAATATGTCGATTGGTGCAGAAGGTCGTGATGGTTACAATGTTCATTATCAGTATACAAATAGCTTGAATGAAAGCTATATAATTCCAGTGTCTTTCGGAATATGTCTTCGGAAATTCAACGATTTCCATGAGTGCGATGACTTTTCGCCCTGTTCAGATGCTCAAACCTTTTTCAGAAAAACATCTCTTCCAGAAAACACCCCTTGGCTTAATAAGCTAGTAARAATGATAMTCGTTCTTAAMAAAGGTGGCATCACAAGCTTTTCTTTTCAAGTTGGTACTTCATATTGCTTCTCCAGGTGCTTCACCTGTYCTGAAATACGAATTTATGCGTTTACATACTGATCAGCTGTAAACTAATTGTGGCAACATTGATCACCTGCGAGGTATTTCATTATAGTACACCCTTGTCAAATAATAAACGAAGACGAAAAACATTTCACTACTTGTATTTCATTGTTGAAACATATATAAAAGAAAATGACTGACCATATTAAGCTCAAATTTATCGGACAATAATAKATTTTATTTTAATGTACTTTGTCGGTTCAAAACAGAAACGTTTTCAAAAGCAAATAATCGATTGATGCCACTAAGTCAATAAAGTAGATAAGTGATACACTCAGCCAATTCATTTATTCTCGGTTTGACGACTGCAAACGTGACAAACTTTCGAATAACCGATCACAATTGTCGACTAGTTGCTGTTGTTGTTATAGCCTTATAGGTCTCACGTGCGACAAGACTCCCGTGAATTTATTTATTTCTTATTCGTGAATGAAGAGTTCTCTCTTGATAAATTTTGCACTTCAATAAGTATTTTGCCAAAAAGCACGGAATCTGACACTGTTGAGTTTTCAATTCCAATTAAAGTTCTGCATGGGTTAAATTTAGACGTTGTTCCCCCTTTTTAAGCACATAAAATTAGATTTTGCCCCCCCCCCCCCTGGATTCTCAAACCCATCCCCTCCTGATAAATATTCCCCTATCACAATAATGGTTGGACTTAAATGTTAAACCTTTTCTTGTTACAGATAAATGTATAAGAAACATGGTTTGTTAAATGGCATTCAATGCCTCACAACTAGTTGTATCTGTAAGCCTTTTACCTTGTAAAGTATTGTAAATATTCGATCCCATTAGTGTTTAATATTATTGTAAGTCGGGGCGGCGGGCTTATACACCTATTTCARAAAACGTTGTCTTCACAAGGACACAGTCTAGAATCTCATTGTTTAGAAATGCGTAATTCAATTATTCGGAATATACTTTCCTATGTGGTTTGAATTCAATGGCGAAAACACTACCAATATACTATTAAACCCATCGAACAACTCGCGCCATGAAAAATTTTCCTTTAAAAATGTTCCATGTTTCCAAACCATCAATGAGCTTCAAAAATATATTTGCTACAGGACCGAGAATTTTTAACAACTGAAAGTGAATATGCAATTATATATGGCAGTCCTGAGATTCTTTGCAGGCTCAAGATTGTGGACTGTGTCCTGGCGATGACAGCGTATTTTGAAATAAGTGTATACAAGCAGTGATATAGTTCAAATGGCAAGCCCCAACCTATTAGCTCAGTTTTCACAGCTACTCTGCTCTGCGGATGAACCTTCTACTCGAGAAACCATTAAATTGTTTATAGATTGCGCTTCAATTCCAACGCCTCTTCAACAATAAACAAAACTTACCGATAAATAAATCGTTACACCAAGAGGTCTTTTCTAAAAATGTTGTTTCTTTTATTTCTTGAATAACAGATACAGACATGCGTGGTACCATTTTTGAGGAGCGCAATCCAACTGCGTTGAGCCAATCAAAGGGCGCCATTTTTTACGGGCTCCTTATAGATCTTTAAGAAAGAGCACTTCTTTTTTTCCGGGACCTATTTTGGCATCAGGAAGAATATATAACAGTATAACGGTTAATGCATCCTTAATGATAATAGTAAAGAGCGAGTGGATAGCGGCAGGTACACGTTGGGGTGAGAAAGCTAAAAACGGTCATGGTTGAGTTATCTGAACCTCCGTCGATGTGGCTCTTAACGTATTAACGTTTACCTGGAGTTC